TCTTCCTCTTGGATTGTTCCCTTCACAAGGATGTAGTGACCATCTTTGTCTCTCTTAATTAGTTTTGGTTTGAAATCTACTTTGTCTGCAGATAATATTGCTATGCCTGCTTTTTTCTGGTTTCTTGGCACATGGAGAACTGTTCTCCATCCTTTTACTTTCAGTCTATGAATTTCTTTTTGAGTTAGGTGTGTTTCTTGTATACAGCATATTGCTGGATTTTTCTTCTTAAACCATTCTGTCAAGTCTATTTCTTTGGATTGGTGAATTGAGGCCATTATCATTGATAGTTATAATTGATAGTATTGATTCATCCTTGTCATGATATTTTGCTCTTGTTGGCTCTTTTATTTCTTTTTTTCTCCCCCTTTCCCTTTAGTTTCTTATCTTGCCTCTGTTGGGCCTCATGGAGTTGTGACCTTCATTGTCTTTTTCTAGGATATTGCTTAGAATTGTTTGGAGTGCTGGTTTGGTGTTCATGAAATTTCTCAGGTGTTCTTTGTTGTGGAAGTATCTAATTTCCCCATCAATTTTGAAAGATAATTTTGCAGGATAAAACAGTCTGGCTTGGAAGTTATTTTCTTTTAGGGCTTGGAATACTTCATTCCAGGCTCTCCTTGATTTGGGGGTTTGTATTGAGAAGTCTGCCGTGATTCTGATGGGCTTTCCTTTGTAATTGATTTGTTTCTTTTCTCTAACTGCCTGTAGAATTTTGTTCTTCTGTTGGGTTTCTTGGATCTTGACTTTTATATGTCTATGTGTAGATTTTTTTCCATCATAGCTAGTTGGAGTTCTATATGCCTCACTTATCTGTATGTTTAGTTCTTCACCTCTTTCTGGAAAGTTTTCTACTATTACTTTCGTGGACAGTTTTTTTATGTCAATTGTACTTTCTCCTGTTTTTTCATGGACTTCTATCAGTCTTATGTTATTCTTCTTTGCATCATCCAGAAGCTGCTGGATTGATTTCTCGTGGTCCCTTACTATTTTGAAGAGATCTCTGTTTTCATGGTTCTTAACTGCAATCCTGTCTTCTATATCTGATATTCTATCTTCAGATTCCCTTAATCTGCTCTGCCTCTTTCTATGGAGTTTTTAATCTCCTGAATATCTGTTTGAATCTGTTTCATGGATTCCATTTCTTTCTTATATTGGGCAATCATGGTTTCCATTTCTTTCTTATGCTGGGCATTCCTGGCTTCCAGCATGTTTCTGAGCTCATCTTTTTAAAAATCTGTTTATGTTCTAGAGCCTCTAATCATATCTTTCACTCTCCTCACCATCTCTGTAGTTAGCTGGGAAATTATTTCTGTTTTAAATTTTTCAAGAGCCTCATTCATCTGTTTTGTTACTTCCTGTGCTATCAGTTCAGGGTGTCCAGGTGGTTCATTATCAGACTTTTCCACCCTGTTTCCCCCAGAATTTGCCTTTTGTGGGGTGGAAATCTGAGTTTGTGCCTTACTTAAATGTCTTCTCATTTTTGTTTTTGGTAGTGTCCTTGGTTTATTTCTTGCATTGATACTTTGAAGTTGTATATTGTAAGTATTTTTGTTGATGTATTTAGAACTCTTATGGAATGATTGCTTCTCACATGTGTCTTCCAGATATAGCTGGTCTTTAGGTTTTGAGTCTCTAATGGCTCTGAGGCTGTCTCATTTTCATTACACCAGGAACAACAACTGATTAGATTAATCACAACACCTTAGCCTAAGTGATACAGTCAGCAACACAATAGCATCAAGTACTTCTTAGAAAATGACAATTTGTAGTAGTTATTAATCTATCACCTTTAACTGTGTGAATTAAATCAAAATCAAGGACCAAGCCAACATGTGTTTATAGTGAATAAACTTTTCAATATAGCAACTTTACCCTTTGGGATGGGGATTTAGAAGGCATTGGGGAGGGAGGAATAGGTAGGTAGAAGGATAGGGGAAGGTTAGCAGTGAGGCCATAGGGCACAGGAAAGAGAAGGAAAGAGAAGAAAAGAAAGATAAAGAAGAAATACCAAAGAGAGGCAGAACAGGAACACAAAGGGAGATGAAGAACAATGTGGGACAGCAAGGGAGCATGCAGAGAGAGAGAGAGAGAGA